CAATTAACAGATTTTTCACGAAACTTAACCAATCAACAAATCAAAAACGTTATAATTACACCAACGTTGGACATCGATTAGTCTACATCTCTATGGATTTTAATCGGAATGAATTTTGTTTGGATACTTCCGCATCACAGTGACGAAAGATCATTGAACAGCAAGCATTTATCAAATAAGTAAAAGCACACAGTCTGAAAGTAAAAACAACCATCAACATGGAACCCTGACATATCTGTACGCAATATCATATCTGCTGAGTACAGATACATGCTGTTGCTGTGTGGAATGCTAACCGGATAAGCACACAGGCCTTATGTATCGAATCTTGCGCATGCACTGAAGTTATCTCAGTATCGGTTCTCGAGACGGATTTTGGGTAGTGAGAGTGACGATTCGATCGAATAAATATGCGTACATATGACTGCTCTTGCAAGCATTCTGTGATGTACAAGCACTGTCGAGTGGTTCGAGTAGCAGTTTTGCGATGGATTTGTTCATTTGTGACTTAAGATATAAGCTTAAGCTGGTTGTAGGCACTCAAGAACGAGCGATTACGTCGGATACGTCAATTTGAAGAGTGCAGCAAACGAGTGCGGGATGCGAAGCAGAACGGACTATGGCGGAGTACAAGTTGGGGTGGTGGATTCCAAGAGGTTTCATTCAAGTCAATTCAATTCATTTATCATATTCACTGTATTTTGTTATTTTTTTAAAAATGTTTTCGGTTCACTAAAAAATCTCGCAAAGTGCATACAATTAAATAAGTGTAGATATTCGCTCGACAAAGGTTATTTATTGACGTGTCTGTCGGAGGAAAGAAAATAGTTTGAAAAAACGAAAATAAAGCTTAACGCTTTAAAATAAAGCAATACTGATAATGAGTGAATAAGAAATGGTAATGAGAATAACTGAATATTCAATGAAAACTGTGAACGTTGCTGATGTCGTTCAATGTAATCTGGGTTTCGTCGGAAGTTCATCTATAGTGATTAACCGATCATCGAAGTTGATCATCGAAGCAATCATCACGGATGGTTTTTTTCTGAGGTCCTGAACAGCAGTAATAATATTCATCCGAACTTCAGCTCAGTCACGCACAGAACTGCGTACATTCTTGTACAAATAGCTAAACATGATAGGTAGCGCTAGGAGAATTTCAACACATTCTGTTATTGCGGTATTGAGATGATTCGTGTGGCAACTTCGACGCTCTTCCGAAACAATCAGATTTCAGTACAAAGGACAATACGACGAAGATAATCTGTGGAATAAGAAACGTGAGAAGAAAGATAAACCAATCGCACATGTTCAATGGAATCTGCAAGCGAATCGCGAGCAATCCTTCTCGTATGCTGACGACTCGCTAAAGGAATCAACACGGAAAGGCGATAACAACAAAACTATGGAACAACTAACTGTACCATCCAGAATCATACTACCAAAAACTTCGGCATCTGCTGGCAATTCACCGAATCTATATCGAGCCAACAATTTCAGTTCTAGTAAAAATACGTCAAGTAATACCGCGTCTACAACGATCACTTTTACCTCACAAGTCCCGAACTCAGTTGAATCTACGAATGCTATGAAGAACAAGCAGTTACCAAGACAGACGCTAGCTGTGATGAAATCAGCATCTACATCACAAGTGAAGTTGGAACGAATCGGAGTAAGTTCAAACGATCATTTTTCATTCAGCTGACTTTTTCGTGGATGAAGAAATCCCATGGGATATTCAAAAACGCACAGATGAAGTGCTTTACGGTGAAGCATTTCCATTCGAAGAAATATGTGATTTTCTGATAGCTCAGTTTCTTCACCATCGAAACTCGACGCATTTGATGACCTTTCTTGGCCGAAATACGAATTTGTATGATCTCAAAATGTAGGCGTCCATCATATCGCAATGATCTTCTTCGTAGATCAATTGCTTAGCGTGGATTTTCTCTTGGAATGAGGATATTCACTAAGCAACAAAATATGCATGATATATATCAGTCTGATAGGCCGGAATTTTCAGCACGAACATTACGCGAAGAGAAAAAATTCTGGTGGTCCTGCAGCTAGCGATATGCAAATCAGCGATCAACAGTTGAGATCGTCACCAAGGTCGAACCGAAGTGCAGTCACCAAGAACGAAGCTTCGAGGACGTATTGTATGAGTTTTGCTCCTTTTGCATCAGTTCCTTGATACAGCTCATCTTGTCACTCACATCTCATACGATCAATGCAATCAGGTCGATGAGTCAGATTGCTTAATAGATCATCGATTTTCGTCAACTACATGCTTCTGAACGATCTGCTGAACGAAACCAATCTCCGATTTTATCATTTCTATGCGTTGCATCATCTGAACTAATGTATTAATTCGGATAAGTGAACAGGATGTTTCACAGAATGGACTTTTGACTAGGAGATCGAGATTTTCAGCTGGTGATTCGTCGAGTGGAACGGATGTGAGAAGACTGAATGGAGATGTCCGTGGCAATGCTTCAGATGTGCCCTATCAACGTATAGCAGATTCTGCGACGTCGTCGTCAGTTNCGACGTCGTCGTCAGTTTTGAGCGGTCACGAGAATCAAGGCAATAGGTCACCACATCACAGGCATCACCATCATCACCACCATCATCCTCGACTGGAGTCGGCCAATTACAGTGGTTCGCACGATTGATTGATTACGTTTACCAGAACAAAATTATTTCCAAGCAGAATCAACACTCATCTTAAGGGCTGCAAATGCTGTCACGACATTTACTTACCCACATTTTCAGTATAAATAGAACCAAAAGCCTCAGTGCAAATCTCAACAAAATATAACTTCGTGCATCGTTGAATCACTATGCATCAAGTCAAAATATATTTTTCATATTTCCGCTCAATTTTACCACTCAAATCATCAGATGCTTATCGTTGCGTTCGCATCATTGCTTGGTGACGATAATATCTTCATCATCAGTTTGCACAATCATATTTTCAGAGCAAGTCTCACCGTCAAGGCAAAATGCTCCAGCGAACGAACAAAATCCGATAAGGACACCGCTGAAAAAAGTTTCCGTTGTGTCAAAGTATGAATGCTGACACTTCCTCCAAACTTGGTGACATTCCATGAAATTTCTGACGATCCCGTCATGCATTCGTTGTATTATATTGTAAATTGTTTTTTGCTTGCTTCGTACACTTTCAAAAAATAAAGTATTTTAAATTTTATCGCATCAACTGCAGTTAATCGTTGATTTTCGCATTCATCAGCAGGTCTTTTCACATTTTCTATCTATTCACAACTGATTATCGCATCAACCGCATTCAGTTGTCATATTCGTCATTTCTAAGAAACAAAAATCGCATTTCAGTCTTTTTTTAGTGAAAGTATTTCTTTATTCACGCTCACAAGCAACCTAACAGATGTTTTCGGTTGTATTGCTACATCACCACTGAGTTTATTGGTGATAATCGAATTGCTGTGAATGTAGTCACACTATTGCTCTATCGTTAATCAACTTATCGAAATTTTATTATTCAACTCAACTCCATTGTACTTTCGCATCAACTTTCTTCGTAACTCAAAATCGGTGACAGGGATGAATGATGACATTAGACAATGTGTGATTATTTATGTTCTCATCGTTATTCTCTTTATAGAAACATCTCTATTCGTGTCAACGTTGTTAATGCTGCTGTTATTATTATTGTTGTTATTATGAGAGTATTCGTTGTTCTACTCCTTGTATGTGTACAAAACTGTCGTGTTCAATATGGTGAAATGAGTGAAAACCAGTTATTTGAGTCTATCAGGAGGTCTACCCTTATAAAGACTTTTCATCTAAGCGCTGTTGGTCGCTCACTGGCTGCCGTGTGCCAGTAGTAGTAGTAGTATCACTGCGGCGTTGGCCTCCAATATTATTCAAGAGCTTTCAGCATATATTTGTGATTGATTAAGATCATTCATGCGAAACCAATTGCCGGATTCTGACTGTTTTAATTGAAAAGTTTTGACGACCTTCAACTTTCAAATTTCAAAATTTAATTAATTCAATCTATAAACAAACAACATACATCAGAATTTCATTGCTCAACAATGCAGCGATCAAATTTCATCAGATTTTCAAAATTTCCGCACGCATACATGTGATTTGCTTCTTCATTCGTTGTTAGCGCTGCTGTTGTTGTTGTTGTGGTTATTATTGTGGAACTCAATAGTTTTTGACAGAACACAAACAAAATGATTGAAGAGTGATCTGGATGCATTTCGTGATTAGTTTTGATGATTGAGATGATTAGTTTAAGGGGCTGGCTGGCAGCAATTGGCTCACGCATTCATACGTTCGTTCAGTCATGTGTTGATATTGCCGCTTCCTTATTCACTGCTCAAACCAATATGGGGCTTTGGCTGATGGAACGAGGAGAACGAGAAGGAGGAGATTTCATTATGGCTCATTTTGTAAACAAACAATTACTTCACTGAACATGAATCGCTCACTTTCTGTTATAGTCAGGGATGAATGGTTGTTGTTTTGATGTTTTGGTGATGGATTCTAAGTGCTTCCTTCCGCTTCTCTACTTTGATGATAATCACTCGCGCACTACTATAACCCATCTCGTTCATGATCCTATCCAGCTAAACACTCATATTCTCATCAATAATAAATGAATGATGTGAGATGGTGATTAAAGAACGAACGAGCGAGTCAGCGTTGATTCCGTACGACTTTGAGTTGGTGAATCGAGTAATTTTGAATCGACTTACCCAATTTCATCGCACTCATTCACGTATCTGCTTTCATAAATGTTTGAACTGATTGTGAGCATATTATGTTTTTGAGAATTCTCACAACAATTTAGTGAGCACTGTCGAGTTGAAGTCATTTTATGCTGCATGATGCAGAAAGACCTCAAATTTCTTTTTTTTTCGCAATATGGAATGCTCTATATTAAGTCGTTAGGAGCATTGAAAAAGTTCTGAATTGCCTTCAAATTACTGTGATTCAACAAATTGGTTGCAATAAACTGGTAAAATTATACTATAGGAGAATCGATTGACTCATTTTAACACAGAGTACTTTTTGGTGATCAATCAGAATATAATTACTGCATTCATCGATCGCGTTCCATTGTGCTGGTGGTATTCATCGTAATGTGCTCAAATGTTAACCGAGGTAAACTTCATCTAGATTTTCAGCGGGGACTGGAACATCTAATGATGAGAAATGTTCCCTAACAATTATGGGTAATGAACTGCGTTTTCTAACTGCGATCAGGGATGGAAACGTAATTTGGAGTTGTGATGATGAAATGACAAATCGAAATCAGTTCTTTTAAAGTTTTGAATAAAACTCTATGGTGTTGAACGATGAATAACATTGTAAGCAGTGAAGAAATGTGGAGAATTTAATGATAGGCACAAATAAACCTGCAAAATGTGCATTCATCATAGGAACAAAACCAATTCTATGATGTTTACCAAAGAAAGCAAAGTAAGTGCAAGACTTTGACAGGCAATATACGTACGTTGACTAGATTCAGAGATTGATCCCAAGAGATAGACGACGACGATGAATATGGCAAGCAGCAACACGTTCAGCTACTAGTAAAAGCAGCTGTTCGGTGACACGTTGTTTGTCTGTAAGCGACCGACCACCGTCCTCAGAGCGCTCAACCTAATCCCTTTATTACTATCACAACATTGTGAGTGCGGTTTTATCGTTGTCCTTCAGTTCTCTTATTGCTTACATTAGCTGCTGTTTCATTGTTGAAGTCAGCCTGTTGCATTTCTAGTCCCACAGCAAGCGTTTGCAGCCATCTCAAGAATTTTTGAGCCACTCCACCGTTGATATGCCGCAGAAATTTTTCAGTTTAGCCGGGTTTTCACCTCACCATGTTGATGTGATCAATCATGCTGATTTATTCTTTCCTTAACTCTGATGTCGAGCCATAAAAATTGATTTTGCTCTAGGTAACTTGAAAATATTTTATTCGTTCCCAATACAGATAGATGAATGATATTCATTTGTGAACCACCGTGCCGCAGGTAAAAACGTCATCTATTAGCATACAATATAAATCAGCAAAATGCGATATGTCAGCGATTATTCAGAGCTTATGATGGATCGTGTAAGTAGTACTTATATTTCAATCGGATGATATACGATCCAGCGTAAAACGATACATAAACTAAACGTTTTTTGTCAATAAACAAACATAGACGTGTCGTTGAACAGGTGTTGTTGTGTTGCTACTGGCATCATTAATGTATTATTAATATCCATTTCGTTGATCCTTGAAAACCGGTATTATTTATTTTGCATATTCCATTTATGCATACGCGTTTTTATATCGTTGTCCATTTCTCTAGGAATCGTTTAGTCAGCTTCATCATTGTCATGAGCGTTATCGCTATTCGTTAATCCATATATCGCTATTGTATATTTTAGATCAAATACTATTGTCCATCGTCATTAACAATTAGTTTCTTCATTAACTAATCTCTTTTCGTTTACATAACTCTTGTTATGATTATCCCGTGAAGTTCGGTGCAATTGTCTTGATCGTAATGAAACATTATCATGTTCATTTTGTTGGAAAGTCTCAAAAGTGATTGCAAGTGATTTGTCTGAAATGTACGAATTTTCAGTGGAATCGAAGCAACTGTCGATGTGAACGATCAACAATAACGAATGAACTCATAATCGATGCGAAGTGTAAACAAACGAATCAACAAATATATAAATGATTTGTGCTGAATGGATGCTATTAAGACATCTTTATTACGCCGAACTTGCACAGGCTAGTCGCGCATCAATCAATTCTAATTGATTTTACTTCATCGAATAAATCGTCTCTGATTTTCCTCACTCTCAAAGTCGCTCACACTAAGCTTTTCGCTATCAGTCGAATTCAGTGTCAATCATCTTCGTTCAACTAATCATTAAGCTTCTAGAGATCAGTCATTAGTTTGAAAAAGATCTTTAGATTCTGATCGTCACTGTTGATCGTCACTGCTACCATATTTCCACCAGACAAAGCAATAAATTCATATGACAGCAGCAGTTCTTAAGACTTCTGCAAATATTCAGGGAAATATTCGCGAGAGTTAACGATAGTCAAATCAAAGCAAAAAGCTTATTCTCGCAGTCAATGAATAATTATAGAAATTGCTGGNAGATAAAGCAATAAATTCATATGACAGCAGCAGTTCTTAAGACTTCTGCAAAGGGAAATATTCGCGAGAGTTAACGATAGTCAAATCAAAGCAGAAAGCTTATTCTCGCAGTCAATGAATAATTATAGAAATTGCTGGGGTGTAATTAGCACTGCATAACAAATGAGCCATTTGCTAATTGGTGTTATTTGGCATGCTCTCGACCCTTATTACGATCTGAGATTGCTTCACATTTTATAATGTAATGTCTAAGAGCCTACTAGCTCAGATTATATTGACTTTTATGGAATAATTCATTCAACACAGAGGATCGCTAACACAATCAAGCATCAAGTAAACGTGTTTACACAATTGTGATTTGACTTCTCAAGCGCAAGACGACCACAACAATTAAAATAACAATCGGAGAAACAGCAACAATAGAGGCGAAAATGAAATCAATTACGAATCGATAACTTATAGATTTGTAGAATTTAACTCCACACTTTAAGCCTTATGATTCCCACCTATCCTAT